CGCCCGGCTGCGAGGAGGCAGAGAATCTCAGGCATCTCCCAAACCTTGCCTGGTGTCCGGCGCCTGCCCCCGGGGGCTGCAGGAAACGGCTCCCAAACAGCGCGTGACCCCAGCCCACCGCAGGCAGAGCAGTCCCACACCGTGCCCCGGTGCCGTACCTGCATCCTGGTCTTCACCACGTCCAAGGGGGTGTTGCCAAAGACGCTCGCAGCTCCGGCGAGGGCTCCAAACACCCCCGTGACGAAGGGGTTGATGACCTTGTTGGGATTGTCCCCTGAGAAGGAAGAGTGGTTGAGGGCAGAGTGGTGGTGTGGGGATGAAGCATGGCATCCCCAAGGGAGTCTGCAAGGAAGGTCCCAGGTCTGGCTGCTCATGGTCAGGGTTTGTGCCATGCTGAGCTGGGGACCGGGGCGTTTGGAGGGGACCGTCCAGCAGCACCAGCCCCGCAAAGCCCACACGGCACTGAGGGGCTCAGAGTGGGGGTGAAGGTGACGCTCCAGCACCAGGACCCTTCAGCCCCACGAGCTGGAGCCCCCCTGCCCTGGCTTTCATCTTCCTCCATCACGAGAGGCTGAGCCATGAGAAGCGGAGGGCATGCTGATGGAAAGTCCAAGCCCAGCTCCTGAGGATGGACTGAGGGAGCCAGTGGTGCAGCCAGGGTGGCCTGGGGGGACGGGGACACCGTACCTTTGTACCAGTTCTTGAGGGAGGTCATGACGAAGAAGCGGATGGCCTGGTTCGACCCTTGCTTGAGGACGGTTGCGGTTAAGCCCTGGTAGGTCCCCTTCAGTCCTGCAGCATGAGAGGGCATTGGAGGGGAGCACCAGCCTCACCCATGCAGAGAAAAACCTCCCCAGGCCACCAGTCCCAGCCTGGACCCATCCCCCACCTCCCATCCTGTCCCCACAGCATGGGAGTACCCAGGGTGTCAGGGTGCCACTTCCCCAGGACTCACCCTGTTCCCGAACGATCTCCCTGACGCCGTGGAAGAAGCCGCGGTATTTGGGCTTGGGGGAGCACTGGTCATGGATAAACTTCACCTGCGGGGAGAATGACGCGCTCGTCCTGGCCAAGATGAGGGGAGATGTGATGGCCCCAGAGGGCTGCCGGCCACCTCTCGCCTTGCTTCAGGGACGGTCCCGAGATCAGAGCTGACCCACGTGGCCAGGCAACGCCAGGTGGGACCACAGGGGAAGCCTGCACCCACAGCCAGCAGTGCATTTTGCGGAGGAAAACCTAGGAAACTGCCTCTGCAAGCAATTGCATGGGTTTTACAGTACTAAAAGGGGTGACGGGATGGCTCCTGGGTGGGGGGGCTCCTCCCCGGAGCAGGGAAGGGGCCACAGCCGCTGGACCTGACCTCTCCATGGGGCTTTCCAGCATCAGTTCCTCCCCTACAAAACCAGCCCAAGCAAACCCACACGGCCCTCAGGTCCCCGAAAGCCACGCATCCCAGGCTCTCTCTCCCTCCCGACCCGGCCTGGGGAGGGGTGCTGGGGCAGGGGGATGCTGGCGGCTGCCTCCCACCCACCTTTATGGTCTCCATGGGGCAGACCACCACCACGGCCTCGGCCACGCCGGCGCCCAGCCCGCAGACGAGGCCCCGCGTGCTGTCCAGCCGTCCCTGCTCATCTCTCATCTGGTTGCTGAGGAACTCGAACATCCCGAACCTGCAAAGGAGCCACCGTGCCAACCCCTGGG